TTTACTAATGTGAGTGAGGGTGAAATGACAAACTGCGATCACTAATTCTGATGCAAAAATTTGCTGGGTAACGCCCAATCCATCTCAGTCTCAACTAGTTGAAGTGGCATCATTACTTTTACCATGGGAAAAGTGAACAAATTGGTTTTCGTGAAGAGAGAAAGTGGAGGCATCGAAAGGCGATGCTAAAAGTTCAGACTACAACAAACCAGAAGGGATGGTATTCTGGCTGCTGGGGCAACCCTACCGGCGTCATAAGGCGTACTAGTCGGAGTCGTGGTCTGATGATGGATACGGAGGAAGATTGGGAGACTGACGGCGAAAATGAGACAATGGGGGCTCCTGTGAGGCAGGAAGAAAGGTAATTAGATGAACGAGACGGCTTCTTGCCTCATTAATGGTGATGGAATGCATTGAAGAGAGGCATTTAATGCCAGAGTTTGCCTAAATTGAAGCGGTCCCTTAGAGTCTGCTTTGATTGGTTCAGATCCGGCCTTACTCCTTTACTGGGCGTTATTCAGAACTCAAAGACACTGACGTGACATCTATCTGGCAAAACCAGTGGTTGCTCCCTGACGGACTTACAAAGTCGTCAAATGGGTTATCAGCTTTGTGGTACAAATAGACAAGACCTGGAGCCTGGTAGTAAAAGGGTATCAGTGGAACCCCATTTCATCAGCGAGGAGGATCGCGCGATTAAATGCACACTTTGAAATGAAATCTCTGGCTTGTACGATAAAGAGATGCGAATAGACTTAGTCAATTCTTTCACAAACAAAGTTTATTAGTCAACTACATCCAGACATCAGATCAGCTCATGTTAGTCGCAAAAAACTCAAGTCCAACATTCATGCCGATTTGGCAATCGGCCACAACGCATTAGTCACCATGATTTTGTCGTGCTTTTCACATTAGACAGGAGTTGTGTGATCTTAAAATGAGAAACCAGTTTTAAGAAATCCTTTCATGAATAAAATCTTACTATAGAGCCACCAAAGCATTGTAATCGGGGTGTGAGCATCAGAATGGCGACTGTCTAGCCGTCTAGCCACATCAATACAGCTTGCGACCAGCGAGGTCGTGATATGCTCCACGACGAAACGAAGATGGATACTCCTTAGCACACTGATATTTACAGTGGGCATCCACACGCCGTCCCCGTTAATAAATCATAGCCTTGTGATCGGAAAGTATAGAGAATTGGCAGGTAGACGGGGTGGAAGACTTAGGTTCTCCGCCTTTATTTCTAACCGTTACTCTTGACTCAGAAAAGTGGATAATCTACCATTTATGCCTAATTGTATGAAAGGACTCAAAGTAGCGATAATACACTAAAAGGGGGAATGTTCACTAGGGCAGTATTCAGTGCTTCGAAATTCGTTTTTGTTGGGGCGCATAAGATGACAAGTTTGATACTATCAAGGTCTGTTTGAGAGGAAAATAAATAAATGACACCAACTGCTATTCTTCTCATTCAATTTCAATCAATTCTGTTTGCATGGCACGATTAAGTGAAATTACGGTTAGCAGTTACTGATAGAGAACAAATGGCACGTATACGTGACGCTAAAAGTTAACGTGCAAGCAGCAGATTTTCGAACAAAACCTCCATCAGCCTTATTTATGGCCTCGCTACAGCTGTTAAGATCGGCCCTGATTTGTGCATCCGGTTCAGTGGTATGGCTTTACGGCCCATTGTGCGGGGCCATGGATCATTTTCGCAGTATCCCATCATAGCGTTCTTGATAGATAATTAACGGATCTACGGTATTGTGAGCATCTATGTTGATCGCTGCTCAACAACGCTCCGAACATGGCAGTCCAGGAGATTAGGATCCGGAGGCCTGGGGGCGACACGATTATGACAGGCATGAGCACTCAATACCAGGGGGAAAGAGTCCTGCTGAAACACACAAGACCACCATGGAGACCTCTTGATCCACAGTTCAGATGAATTACTTGTTCTTAATCAACTTCGTCCCATCATTCTTTGACGGTACTCCGGCAGTGCTAAACAAACAGCAGCTATCCTAAGGGCTCCGATAACTAGAGAAGTTGGCTCTTTCCTCACCTTGGCTAGACCCGAAGCTTACCTGTTGAAACTGAAAAAAATGATCTCAAATAGTTTAATGATCCATTCAGTTGCCGACTGCACTCAGAGATTCTAATGTCCGATGTCAAAGTTAAAGTAGGCAAGTTGGGGATATTCATTGCGTGAATGTCTTCTATTCCTTTGAAACCCGGGGTGGAATGGGCCGCCTCAATTTGCATTTCCTTGTTTTCGAGTTGCTTCGAACAATTGCAGGGGTAATTCAAGTGCTGCATCGCATTACAAAGAGGAATCTCTCTTCTCCTAGCCTTCCTACCCTTCTGTACACTTCTGATAAAGTTGCCTCAAAAAAAATTAATTCAAAGACTTAATGCCTCCACTGATAACGCATTATAAAGCTGCCCTTTAAACTTGCACCCTTCATCCACCACGTCCTAGGCGATGACTCGGACATCGACCCACCACCGCAAGCCCTTCGGTCGTTATGGCTAAAGAGGTATGAGAACAAATGCAATCATCCAGTAGCCAGCCCCACCAGTATATTTTTTTGGGGTGTGTGTGATGGGGACCGAAGAATGGAGACCGGAGATGTCCAGTAACGGTATCATGGATGCTCAAGCTTTTCTCTGTGTATCTGTCTACATGCGCGCTTGTATGTGAGTGGAGGCATGGCGAGTTCAATTATCATAGCATCGTACCACCTAGCCAACCACCCACCCACCCATCGTTGATTCTGAGTCACGGTGGACTGTGAGGTAGCATCAGTTGTAAACATCGACAGTAGACATGTTGTAACACACCCAAATGGCAGGGGACTCCCACTTGAGCATCACGAGAGAGCGCTTTGTGTTTGGGGGAACAGCGGGTGACAGCTACTGTGCGTCTGCTGTAAAACAGGTTTGGACGAGTATGCTATGTACTGCAACAAGGACGGCGTAGCGCTGGACGGTTGATTGGGCCGATTTATTTGCAGTAGCACTTAGTCATGCCAGGCAGTAATCATCAGTGGCATTTACTTTGACCACTTTGTGGTTGGGGCATAAGTAGTGTCTGGATGTTTACGCATTACAGTCGCTTACGCAGCCATGTGATCCATCACACCCTCAATTCTACAATAAAACAGGCGGCAATATCTATTGATGCTTGAGCTTAGTAGAACGGAACCTGCATTCTTGTTCCGATGGCGCGAGACATAGCTTGGAGCGTCGAAAGTGCCGTAGACATGAGGCAGCCCTTCTAGTCTTTCTGTCTTCTCGCATAAATGTGGAAGATTTGGTTGGGAAATTCCTCTTGACTAGAAGTTGAGAGAAGGACCTTCGTTTTGGGTGTGTTAACTACTGTGCGGGTCTTTGCACAGGTGGCATGAGGCCCTGTTAACGCCGTCAATAGTGCTAGTTCTTTAGCCTTTTGAACATTGATAACATCTTTTACATCCTAGATCATTCCGCCCTGTCAGGCCAGCTTGTTTCCCAAAGCGGAGTGGGGATGAAAAAAGTGTAGTTAAACGGTTCGCACACACACACGGACATCCCTGACAGGCTGGTTGGATAAGTCACACGCACACACACTTGGGAGTGCCTGCTTTGACGACGTCTTAGAACTTGGACGTGACGAATTTACGCGATGGCTAGCTTGCTGGTAGGGGGATGTGTCATACCATGAGGATAGGGAGGATGGAAATTTAGCGTGGCGATATCGCCACCGCCACCACCACCACGTCTACTTCCCCATCTGCCTGTCTGCCTGTAACCACCTTTCTCTCTCACTAGAACATACTAATGTTTTGTGTGTGAAGGGGGTCTGGTTGCAGTAACCCCAGGATGTGGGTTGAGTCAGTTTGGGGTCTGGCGCTCTCGTTTTCTCGCCCTCCAAGACCATACCGTGCGTTGTAGTCAAAATGCCGACTGATGAAAATGCAAAGGGCTGCCAGTACTACCCAAAATTTAGACAAAAGTTAACATGATGAGATGAAGGAATCCTGTTACCAGGCTGCCCCCCCTCCGGAAGACGTTAGTTGTGGACGTAATTTAAAGTTGTGGCTATGAACGGCATGATTGTTTAAAATCACGATACAATCACTGATGAAATGGTTGATGAAAAACATGACGTTAGGGTGTGGGAAACCATGTCACTTTAATTATTGTTAAGTAGGGAATCACTTAATCTACCCAAACTAGGAGAAGATATTATTCGGCCGAAGCGGAAATAAATCACTTCACCCAAAGTAGTGGAAATTCAGTCAAATTAAATTCAATTAGACGGACATTTTACCCAAGTTGTCTTTTGGTGATTCCTAAATGTATATTTTAAGATAAAAATGCATTTATTAAAGATACTCTATACCCCGAGGTCGTAAAAAGGCATACCGACATAGAATAGGATTTACTACTAGCTCTCAGAAAACCCGAGAGTCCATAGACCTGGCCGGAAAGCCATCCGACTGAGTGAAAGTGCAATCTCCGGAGATTGAAGAGGCCGTGTAGTTAAAGCACAACACCAAGTTACTACAAAATACAGACTAATGATTGTCCAAAGGATCTAGGCTATTACAATAAGCATGGGTCAGCTCGACACAACGGTAATCTCTTCAAGCAATGAGACAATGATTGATGCGCCCTGTCCTATTGGCGCAGTAAGGTAGGTTGATTAAGAAGCATCGGCCATCAGTAAACAAAAAAAGGTGGATTTGAATTGACCCAACGCACCGATGCTTATTAGAAATGGGAAGTTGAGTTGGGGAACTTCGTGTTTAAGGAGACGTCGCAGGCTGTACCTCCATTCTGCGTAGTGGTGGCCGGGGCCAGGCTAACAGTCGCCCAGCTCCTCCGAAAGTCAGTAACATAGGTTATTCCATTACTACTTCGGCTTATCACGGCTTCGGAGAAGCCTCAGGACGCTACACTTGCAGTTTGTCAGCTCAAATAGGATCATCTTTTTCGACTCGTGCTAACTGGTGGAAAGGTGACTGACAGTACCCTTTTCGGATTCCACGCCATAGATTGGTGAAGTGAAAGTAAACTGATTGAAGCCGATTTTTAAATGAAATGGAAAGAAAATTAGTCCTGGAACACATAGGCTCAACACTTGAATTTAATTGCATTGGTAGTTCATTCTAGAAGGTAAAAACGCCAACAAATGATAAATGAAAACTCACAGATTAACTTGGCATGTAGATGATACAAGAATTGATACTTCAAGTGGATTCTGAATAGTAGTTCGTTTTGTTTTTCGACTTATTTTAAATAAAATGCGCCTGCTTTCTCCAGAAAATGTGTTTGGAAGCAGTTCTGCAAAGTTTTAGCCAAATTAGAAATGATATGAATCTTTCCACAGACGATTGTTGAATAATTATGTCCACTACACCTTCGAAGGAGCGGAACTTCCACGTGATAGGCACATATGAAGCGAAGCAATCAAGCCACGATCCCGAAGGCCATGCCACAGGATGGAATTTCAGCCCGAGGCGGCTGGAGCGCCCGCGTGTTTTGATGCACAGTCAGGAAAAGTATCAAATTACCACGATGAAGTCGAACTTGCATAATTCTAAAGCATATTTCAGGAACAACGGTGGAAGTAGCAAAGAGCAGTTTAGGCTCAAATCTTCTCTTTCTCCTTTTTAAAAAAAGAATTCTATCACGTGGAGATCCAAATAACTGGATAGCGTGGAACATGACTAAGTAGCAACTGACCAAGTAGGGGCTCCTCTATTGTCCCTCTGTTGAGCGGCCTGGCTTCCAGGCCATACCAGTAGCCCCAAGCCTTACTGCACGTCAACAATACATATTCTGCCCAAGGATTATGTTTTCTTTCGTCTCCAGGGAAGTGTTTGGGTGCTGCATTAGTGGTCAGCGGAAAGCGATCCCTACCTTGAAGGGCAACCGTCCTGATTTCTACCGCTGGATGATAGGCCTTAGCAGGGCGGAAGTGCACTTGACGCAGATGGGAGAATCTGTGATGACGTCTACGTTTGTCAACTACCCCAGTCCAGTGTTCTGAAGCGAAATTGGCCGTGAACCAGCTAAAAAGTTGGTTACGGAGCTGTCTACTGTACCTGTAGGAAAATATTGTGTAAAAACGCGCTACCTCATCCACCCCTCCACTTGCTGCATTTAATCCAGATAGATGTGGCTGGTCAGCACTGAAGTGAGAAAAATGTGGCAGGGAGGAATAGACGCGAAGCCTTATCCCCATAAAACTACATTGAACTCTGTCTTTTGTTATGTGACTGCTTTTAGGCCAGTGGGCCTACGACTAGCGATGGATATGCGTGATGGCCACCACATTCCCCCTTCCCCCATGCAAGACGAAACTGCAGATCCAGAAGAATCGCCAAAAGGGATCAGTGATGTTGTTAAGTATTACCTTAGTTGCGCGGAAATTCGATGGCTGGCGCTGTTGGCTTGTGAGCGTTTTTGTTACAACACCTATTACGCTGTGATGGCTTAGGCGTTAGGTTGTCTAAGGAGAGCGCCAAAGACGACGCTCAAAAGAGGGGAGGGGCTATGCCATGCCCAGTTTTTTAGCTGTCGATTTTGGTATCGGGCCAATTAGGGGCTCCGTCCTTGTACTTCCGCCTGGTAGCCTGGCCTCCGGGACAGTTGCACAATACACATTCTCTTCGAAATATACCTTTTTTACGTCTTTGGGGAAGTTTTGGGGCGATACAAAGACGTAGACATAAGAAGGACCGGATTTAATTTTCGTTGTTTTGTGTAAACATTTTATGGATGCCTGAGGGCTCATTGGTAGATTGAGATAACTTTGCTTCCCTCTCGACTTAAAGCATTCCGTAACTTTCCACGATTTTAAATAGGTAAAGTAAGTCATTTTCAAGATGGTTTTATCTAAAAGACAATCGTAGAAAAGTGCAGTTCTTTAAAAATATGTGAACAATCGCGTCTGAAGTTGTGACACTTATATAGCCAACCGAACATATCTTCCAGTGAAGAGACATTGTCACAGTCGGATTTTTACACCGGAACATCAAAACAGTCTGCACAATAAAATAAATTTCACACACACACATGGCTTTGTATTCACAAGTCCATGCCGCCGCAACGAATGGCTGGATTAATGGATTGAAGGGTTGAAACAGACCCAGTCGCAGTTGTTAACCGGCCGCGTGAGTTAATGGAAACTCCTTTAGACTTTGCTCTTCATTTTTGTTCTGCTTGATTTCCAAGTGTCACTTAATCACTGTTATAGAGACAACATATATTTTTTGCTGCAGAAGGAGAGATTGGGGCAAACTGTCTGTAAAAGTACAAAACAAAGACTGATTCCCGTCTAGAGCCTTTATTGCAATACGGTCAAGTGCGCCGAACTCCTGAGGTACCACTGCGCTGAGACTTCATGAGAGCTCCCCACAGTGCCGATCGCAAAAGAGAGGCGCGAAAGAAAAAGGCCACTTGGATGGTGGCGAGGCGTACAAAACAACTACAAAGAAGGTGGTACAGACCTTGAAACAACCGGTTTCTCAACGCCTTTTCGACCATGAAATTCCAATTTTTAGAGATGGATGAAATCAAGTCATTTGTGCTTAAGCTCCAAGGCATCCAAACTTCTCCAAAAGAGCTCATTAAACGTATCCAAACAAGTTCATTGGCTGTTTTCAAAGCAAAAGACATAAACCCAACTTCTCAGCCTTAAAACGCCCACTTATCCTACCCCATATTGTTTATCATAAAAGGGAGGAAGGAGGAATAGAGTCGACCATCTGCCGACGGCCTAATCAAGGCTATTTGTTGGGCTTCCGCAGCGGCCACGTGGGTGAAGAATACGGCCAAGGAAAGAGCATGATACTTTTTGCAACACCACACATAGAGTGGGCCGTCATACGACGAATTGAGGAGCTACTGGATTCGACTGTGGGAAACGCGATGACAAGTAGGGATAAGAGGAAGGAAGGAAGGAAGAAAGAAAGAAACGGGAGAGACAAGGGGGATTCGGTATCGAATTGGGTGCAAAACTTGGCCGGAATCTCACACACAGTTTCGAGTTTGCGCTACGCCATGGATTAAAGTCATACTGGACAGTGGCATGGCTACTTTTAAGCCCTGTAGTTACTGTTATCCCACCTTAGATGATCTTGACAATTTGTGCCTAAGCTTCTTCATTTAAGAGAGGAAAACACAGGTAGTAGAAAGAAAGTAGTTTTGAGTAGAACAAGTAGTGTCAGGAACACCAAAACTAGTAGTGAAATTAGAAAGGGGGAGAAGTGACAGAAGGTATTTTGTTATATGGGCTTAACTTTTGGTCAGTGTTCGTCCAATTGGCAATGGACCCACAAATACCGTCCGGCCTCAAGTAATACAGTCGGCCAATAGGGGACATGAGAGATGAGAGTCATGGTGATCCACGAAATGCATAATTTATTGATAATTTGAACGTCACACCGCCTTATTTTTTTCCTACCTAGCGGTGTTGTGACAGCTGACGCAGAGGACTTGTCACAGGGAGTGCCAGAGACGACGCCCAGAACGTTGCAGCTAGATCATGCATATTTAATTTGTAAATGATAATCCACGGATTTTTGAAGCCTTTCGCGAGTCGACTTCCACTCCGGTGTCGTGGGACTTCACCAAGGCTACTTATCCTGCGAGTCCTCCAGCCCCCACCAACACCTCTAATAAATGTACAGTTTGACGCCTTGGCTACAGATTCCTCTCCAGCAAATCTGAACTAACCCTGACAAGACGAAAGCGTCAGCGTCTGATACCGGAATGCAAACTAGTGTAAATTTTCACCCCGTGGGTCCTTCTCAGTGGATTGTTAAAGTGTGACTACATAACCGGCTGCACCTGGAGGGGATGCCGGCTGTCTGACCTTCCTTAGAACAGATTTTGGAAACAATAAACGTTGATGGTTTTATTTGCAGCCCTAGCATAATTTGTCTTACTTGGAAAGTTGATATCTCTAATACCTTCGCTGGATTTTATTTCGGTTGTTCGAATTAGACACCCACGCAGCACAGTGGAATTCAAAATCCTAGATTAATTGGGGAAAAACTCATGTTTTTCATTTTGACAGCGATACCCATTTGTGATGTGTTTTAATGGAGAGCCGCCGACAAGAGCTTGAACCAAAACTGACTTGATGACTACTGGATGGAGGTACAAAACGCTGATCGGTGGTTTGAGTAGGTGTCAAAGCCTTTTGGCACTTTTGGGCTTGATCACAAAAGACCCACAACCATGCGGGAGGTATGAGGTGAGACAAGAGTGATGGATAGTGTTGACTGTCAGAAGCCAAAGTCTTATTTACATCTTTATAAGTAACTCTGGTGCCAAAAAAATAAATTGTAAATTGATGGAAGATACTGTAGTACTCGCTTTCTCCCTGGATTCGTTATAAGGCTTGCTTTATTGTGAAGACCCTGAGAGCTGCCACTGAACATGATAGGAGCTTTATGACATCAAAATAGCGGTTAAAACCTGTGAGGAAAGCCTCCACAACTATTGAGCGATTTTGTAACTTTCCCTCTTCTTTTAAGGGCCATCCTCCTCTCCGCTTGTGGTTACTCTTCCGAGGCGGACGTCACAATGTAATCCTTGCCTTGGTAGAAGCCTACGGAGGGGAAGCGAAGACCATGATTTGATTTTCATGTATGCTCTGCTTGAAGTTGGTCGATGCTTTGCAAAAGTCGCCATTCATGCATCAACTGCTGTTCAGCAGAACACTTCCCTAAATCGGAGCCAATTTTTCTACGCAACTCCTTCTAGTCACGTTTCGGCTGTTCACTGCTGCTCAGACGGCTGTCCGAGCTCCTTTCAGGCAGCGGAGACTTGGAGATGACACATTCACAAAAATTATGAATCTTTGTGGAAATTTTGTAGGGATTGAATGAACAGCTGCTTCCAGTGTCCGCCTCAGGGGATAATCCAGCACTTTAGTTCAAACATTTCATGACCCTAATGTGGAATCAATTGTCATTAGCTTTGACCCACTTTACCTCTGCTAAAAATGCGGCAAAGCCAAATTAATACTAGACTCACATTTAAGGCTCAAACACCTTGTTTGAGATGTACGAGTTGGTGAATCCACAGCTGTCATAGCCTGATAAAAACGCGTCACATATTTGTGACGCCAGAGTAAGTGTGCTAGTGGTACAAGCTCCCCGATTTCATCCTTAGGTCATAATGGCAAAGCTAGTGATCATATCTGGGGTAACCACTTTGTTTACTTCATTAGTCCAGTTAGCTTGAATAAGCGACGACCACTTAGTTACCCTAAGCGCTGCTAGGACGGAGACAGCTGTCTCTTGGTGTAGAGGTGGAGATAGGTTTGGGTCATTAAAGTAGAGGCTCTGAGTGCATTAATCATCGCCTTATTGTCGCCGGATGACAAATCACAACATCTTTTTGTTTAACTAGATTAATTTCACTAATGATGATCTATTAATAAACCTGCTGGTGAGGGAGAGAGAGGGAGCGACCCTAAAATCTCGCCAGTTGCTGATACTCCGAAAAAACTATCAAATTTGAAACTCAAGGTGCCTGTCTTGCAAGTAATTGAGTGCACATCATAAACACGAATAAAAACACATTTAATACAATTTTTTTTTCCTCCTAACAATGGGGACGGAGTAAGATACTTCTACCCTCTCAGCGTTGGAATAATGAATTGATGAAAGTTATTTGTGGCAAAGGTGGCACGGAGCTCTGCAGATGCCCTTCATACTATCAACCTTCCGGCCCTTCGATGAGCTACTTCTAATCCCGAATTTCTTTAAAAAAGCGCTGACGAATTCGTTCTCCGAAAGAAGGACAATCCAGTCGCCCACTCACTTTGAAAGTCAATGATAAAGCAACTTCTAGACTCGTACGCCTTATAACACCGTCGGAGATAACTCGATCGCCACATTGCCCAACTTTCACATCGCTACATCGTTTAACCCTTCATACTGTGCACAGTCCAGCACCATAGTCAAACCACATTACACCTGGGCCTGTTTTACGAGGCTGCATGTATCAACCCAAATCCACCAACGAACTATCATTGAAGCATCTCCTTCGTGCGAGAAAGGGGGAGAGAGGGCGAGATGAGAACAATACCTCCAACCGTACATTATTACTGTGCAGCACAACACACGGGCCCCAAAGCTCGGTTGCTAGGCCCTCAGCGGTGTGTGCTTGTCTGTGCATCCATGAATTAACGAGATGTGGGTTGGGGGAGGGACGGAAGGAGATGGGACGGAAATGAATAGTCTTGCAGCGGACTACAGAACCAGCTGCAATGGACAGTCGCGTGTGTGTTTATGTGTGCGGCCCAGCAGTGGGAATTGTGAAAATGGACTCTCGAACTGACAGACATACTAGACTGGGTGGTGATGGGAGGGGGTGAGGCAGGATGGCATCAGCGACGAGAAGAAACTCTGTCCAGGGGTTAGACAACGTGGGAAAGTGTTATCGGCGTTAGTGGCAATGGCTGAACTACGGCAAGGTTAAGAATCGTGAAGTTTTACACATATACTGGGAGGATGCAAGCTGTCAACTCCATTACTTGCCGTGGGATACTTGGCCGTATTAATTGCCTACCGTGTTATGGCCTTCATGCACCCTATCTATGGCTCAAGTTGGGGTGAAATACGATTGTTTGACATTTTATACGCTACCAAGCGGGCCTTTTCAGTCGCCTCAACTTCTACATAGGCACCGACGCACTTCTGTGACTGAAATCGGCACCTTATAATCCCTCTGAAAATATGCAAAGTCGAGTTTTTACCTATTGAAATTACGACAAAGCAATAGTTAAATACGGAAATTTAAATGTTCTCCTAGGTCTATCAAACAGTTATTATTTTCGGCTACTAGAGTGATACAAGAGAACGCTTTCCGAGGAGGGCAACTCTATTTTAACTAGCCTGCCAATTTACCTACGATAAAGGCAATCGACGTTATGTATATAAAATTCTGCACACCATGTTCAGACTAGACCAGGAGGCATTCAGTGAATTCGAGGTACTCCGAAATGGTACGTATTTGTGTAAGTAAGCGTTAGGTATGAACGCTCAAAACGCTGAGCCAGTAGATATTAAATATCGCAAATTAATGCAAAGTATAAAATTGTCTTTGAAAAGAAACCTCTGAGCTAAATAATAACGATGCCAACTGAGTGAGATAATTGCTGCCAACAGTACTTTTGTATAAAGAATGTGTTTGCGCAGGTGGGTGCAAGCCTATAAGCCAGAAATGAGGAAGTCGCTTGTTAAACTAAAAGATTGTAATATTATTTTAAGAACTTTCACTAAATGTCGCATTTCGATAAGGTGAACAAATTTCGATGGCTTTAAAGTTATATCAAGTGGAAACGTCAATGGTAACTAAGATAACAACAATTACTCCTGTTTGACCAAATTTGTGAAAATTCAAGGTGCTAATAAAGAATCGAAACCAGAAAATTTGCAGCTAATAAAAAAGACAACTATATGATCTACAAAGAGGCAGGAGCTGTTTATTAACTAATAATTATATACACCAAAAGCAATGGCAACGCAAAACAAAGTTGGTGTCAAGTAACAAACCTCTGCATAATTGTCACTATCACTGTCCCAAAAACATCGACATGATGCTTTTACACCCTGACCCTTTTGTTCGCCAATAACAACTTGAACGAGGAAAGTGTAGCGTTTGTAAGTAGGATCATTGCGAAGTTCGTCACGAATTTTGTCGGAAAGGCCTTTCGTCAAATCTAACATTACTTGATGAAAATAAAATTAAACTAGGGACCAGGCATTTTTTCGTATTCATACTTAACGTCCTCCAAATTATGCTTTAGTATTTCACGCATTACTTCTCGAACCTTCGATGGACGGAATCTGTTATATATTTCAGGGCGTATAATGTATCCCTGTGGCTCCGAACCATCGGCAATAGTGTTATCAGGCTCTTCCTTTGTGTTTTTATTTTCTAAATTTGCTTCATTCATTTGATAGGATATCTTCTTATCACTATGGTAATAGAGCAGAAATCACACTATTATAACAATGTTGTCAGGACATAATAAAAAAAGGTAGAAGACATTTGTAGCTTGAAATAAATTATTTTTTAAAAAAGCAAACTTTTTGACGCTTATATGCACTATCAAATTGTATTAGTGGATAGATTTTTCACGAAAGTCCAATAGGTGAATGAAAAGCATTTCGAGCACTTGTTTGACATGTTCTTTATGTGCCTGCAACTGACCACAATCTCTTTTGGTTAAAAAAATTGGAAAGTTCTAATATGCATTTGTGCAAAAATTAGTCAATGCTTTGATACGATTTCATCCAATGCTTCCAACTTATGAGCAATTGAAGTTCTGTTTGAAGTACCGACTAAAGCTAAATTCTAGTTAAAGTCTTGAACCGTTAACTTTATTTGTAGAGGTTGGCATTCTTATGTCTTACGCTGTCCGAAGTCTTTTTGGAAGAAGGCAAAATTCTGCGGAAGCATCCATGTTACCAACTCCCAAGTGACTTGGAAGACTACTGGCATAGTCTTAATGCCAGGCCGCATAGCATAACCACAGCCTTAGGAGATTCAAGTGCCAGTGTAATATACTACAGAGTTGGAAAGCTACCAAAGTATTGCACTCTAGTGACGTAACTTCCATCAACCACGAAAAGTGCTTTGAGGAATCGCAACCGACCAGACATTCTCAAATAGGATAGAAATTGAAACAACCAATCTTAAAATTATCGGTCAATATTACACGGTATAGTGAAGATGAGTAAGTTAAGCATTTGATCGCAAGACACTAAAGGAGGTATTTTCAAAGGCGTTAACAAATATCCTAGCGTGATTATCCTTGTCGCAGTTTAGGTGCATTTGCATTTTCAGACGCATGTGTGAATAATAATAGCACTATTAACTACAGCTGCGTTCCCTATTTCTGTTTCTGCTGTTCCTGCGGCGCTTGTTTTGGTGCCAACGGGTAAAGAGGAACGGTTGAAGAGGTTGACAATGCAAGCATGGACGGTGATGTTATATGCGGAGGTGGCTGGACAAAGGAGGCGGCAATCCAGAACCAACTTCCTGCTATCCCAAGGGCCACACTCGCCCAGCTGAGATGGGAAGACAGATCGTAGTTTCTTTCTACCAACTCCCAGTCATTCTAAATGAGAACGAGATAATTTATGCCTTTAGCATCTTTATAAATTCAAAATGGGGCAGGTGTACAACTTACTGCCGGTAGACTTCCTGTCATGCCTTTCAATTTGATGGTGGTAGTAATCGATTCAAGGATTGAGGTGCCTTCGAAAGATATAATTCCCAATGTGGTTAAAATAGCTGAATGGGAAGAAGAATACACTCATAAAATAGACGTTTTACTTAATGTCAGTGAGTAAAGTATGTTAACCTGAAAGCCAAAGGAGATAGCCCGAGGCAGCTAGGCAGGATTGAGCGCTCTGTGCACTGGGTTTGCTCATGCAATAGCGAACTGCCAGCAGATACACAACACAGACAAGTGAGGAGATGGTTTCCAAGCCAAGTGCGGTTACATGCAATGCCCAGTCTGCGACTCTGAGGCCTACAAATGGAGTGAAGCAGGCACCTATACTACACTTGAGTAAGTCCTTTGTATGCATTACAGTGATACCTAGAAATAAAAAGTAATGCCGATTCGCAAGCTAATAAATGAAGTGACTTTGTGTAGAAAATCAACTCACGACTTATTTGACCCGTTCGTGCCACCTGCCCTTCGTCACAAGTTCCACTAGTAGAAACGCCTTGCAAGAAAATATTTTTCATTAGTAACCTGAGTTGTAAAATGAGATATCATCATTTCTTTGTCGAGTTGGTCTTTATTCAGACTGGTAAGGAGTTATTACTTAGTAAATACAAATCCCCCAGCTGATGTTCCAAAGATGATTTAAAGTAAATTATTTTACGAATCTGCCAAAACATTTGCCCTTAAAAAGGTTTTAAGTAGGTCAAAAGACTACCCACATCAGTTCTATTCAAAGTGACTCATATAATCGAAACCAAAAAGTTTTTTACTATGAAAAAAGACCGGAGTTCACTGCACTTGACCATGCACATCCGTACTCACACAAGTGCATAATTTATGCAAGAATGCCTTACACTTCTGGTATGGATGCAGAGGACTTGAAATTTCCAGACACTCACTGCCAAAGGACCCTGAAAATAATAAAGAAAGCACCTTAAAAGATGAGATATGTTGCAAGAAATGCTAAAATTAAATAGGATTCCAAGAAGGTGTCAATGAACGGATGGCTGAATGTTATCTCGAAGAAGCCTGAACAAGTAAAGGGATAGAAACACTTTTTGTGGACAACTTATTGTGCTCCTAACTTTACACACAGGCGAAGGATATTAGCGGAGTGATTGAATTTACGCACGCAATAATGCATATAAGGGTTGTAAACGAATGCGTAGGCAAGTGAATGACGAAAAAATTGACGAATACAGATTTGTATCACAATAAAAACTAATAAAAATTGGGTTGGATAGCTTTTAAAGCATTTTCGATTGAGTTTTGAGTTTTTTTATAGCAAAAAACGGAATTAACCTTTGCGAGTTTCTCAATGTCAAATAAACTACTTTCGAATGTGTTAAGCTAGTGAAATAATTTTTCATAATGACCAGCAGTAATTCTATTAAAAGAATGCACCGAATTTGAAAAGGAGTCTTAAACCTAAATGCCAATTTCTTGTTAGTTTGAATCACACAGCTACTCAACAGCAAATAAAACCTTTCAAAATGTAGAATTGGGGGTTTGTTGCAGACTAGCGGCTGTGGACGTGAAAGTGCGCAAATAAATCCACAATCAAGAGCGGAGACAAGAAAGTACATATTGAATAATAACTATTTTTTCTCTGAATCGGTGGGTGATAGGAGGTTGATCGCTTGGCTCCCATTCCTAGGGCATAGTTACCACCCACCAACAATTATCGCACCTTGTGAGCGCTCACGACTGATTTTAGTACAAATCGTATTTGTCAAAAGATGAGATGAGATGAGTTTAATCAACCTCATGGTTAGAGCCGATTTGCGATGAGTGCTGCTGTGCCGAGTCTTCAAGCTTAAGCTTCCACGCTTTGCTCTCAGAACGCATTGAAAAAAGTCATTAACTGAAGTTTGAAGACTCCTTCGAACTCACCTTTGCAGTTCTGAAATAGTCCTCTATTCGCGTAGACATCTGCGCTGGTCTTGGTATATTCCATCCAATGGGGCAATATGACGGCCGCCAGGTTGGTCGCTATGGCTGCAAGGACGCAGAACACACCGATTGTTACAAGGATGACCCAGAGCTTCCGCGCTGCCCTCATGCTGTGTGATGGTTCAGTGGCCTTCTGAACACACACGAAATGGCGACTGTGCTCGCACACTGCGTGTGCGTGCGTCCGGGTTTCACTCAAATCGGCACCAGCCAATGGGAGGTGTGGAAATCGGGTGTTGCTGGAAGAGGACAGGTCCATCACTACTTTTGTCTCGCATTAATTAAGATGTCGAAATTAAAAATAAGAGATGAGAAAATAATCATAGTGTTAAAAAAGGATTAAATATGCAATAGCTTCAAGTTAGGAGAGGGAAGTTGGTATCGAGTTAAGTCGCCAACCTTTTATTGGGGGTAATTAGACTGAATCCCTCAATCGATTGAGGGATTGTTTTTCGAGAAGTACCATCAAATCTCTCAGAGCACCACCTTCCAGAAGGAAGGGACAGTCAAAATCGATTGTGGTACTGAGGAAAGCCTTAGTTCGACCGCCTTTTCAATAACTAAATTGGCTAATTCATAATTTGTATTCCTCTGAATATTTATTTAACTCTTCTTTATGGTTTCGTAAGCACACTAGGCTCCGCATTCGTACTTCCACCGGGCGGCATGGCCTCCAAGCCATGCCAGCGGCTCCCCCGCCCTGGTTTCATGTCTTCTTTCAACTTCGGAGAAGACTGGAGAAGCTGCAGAAATTATCTAGAATGACGATAATAGCACAAATTAACTCCAAGTATGGCAATCTAAAACTGCACAAATGAAACGTATCCCAGTGTACTCGCTGATACCTCATCGCACTGAGCCCTTAAGTTTTGCATTACAACGAGGCGAACATTCCTAGTAGAGATAGCAGCGACTTAAAGTCACTTTTAATGCTGTGGGAATGGTTCGCTTAAAAAAGCAATTTTTTAAATCCACAAATTGAAGAGCTCCCTTATTGGTGGCTGAATTGGACGACAAAAATTTGAATCTGAAAAGATACATTAACAAGCGTCAATCAATCCATCCTGGGTCCATCCACCTGCATTTATCCAGCCGCTAAGCATCTCACCTTATCTGAACTGCGAATCGTTTTAAACACTTACTGATATCATTACTTTCTCCATGTCCCAATAAAACGAATTCAACGACTTCAATGTTACTAGTTGCTCCCCTTTATTTGCACCCCCGCATGGTTAAATTAGTCCAGAAGACCCATAGTGATGTGGCTCTAAAGCTTCTGACTTTGCCCAGATTCCATGACCAGAATATTAATTGCTACGGCTTGTTATTAAAGTTTCTCAACGGACTTGATGGATTGGTTACCCCCAACGAACCAATTACAGGGTCAGTCGGTCACCACAGCTACTTAAATAGTGGAAACTAGGGTACCGTTACTGATTGATCACTGATGGTCAGCATTATCAGTCAATCATCATTTGGTCATGATCCTGTGTGACTATCTCAAACAAGTGAATAAACTTTACTCAGCACGCAAAGTGTAATAAACTCCGAAAGAGGTGGACAAAAGTGCTGAACTCGTCAAGTGACACAGCGCATCACTTTAGGAGATCTATGGGGGAACATAATTGCAGTGCCAACTTTCAATTTCCCTAGCATGTTTTGCCTCATGATTAAAAGAACTTCTAATACATGAAAATATATAAAGATGTCCTCCCGTGACATTTCAGTCCGATGTTATGCGCTGGTCAGTTCCCTCATTGTTTCAAATTTAATACCTGCTAGGCTCTGGTAGACGAGTAAAAATAATCGTTTTTCTTCTCAAAAATTTACTTAAAAAAATTAAATGAAATGCGGAATGTTAACATGAAGCAGAACAGTGCGAGAAGGAACATTTCAATTGGCCAATTCAAGGTCAATTATCTCCAAAGCAGCTTCCACATGGGACCGCCGAGCTCCATCCTGGGCGTCTTTGATGCACTGCTCAAGACTGAAGATGAGGTCGTTAGGCATGTCACGAACTAACACGCGCTCATCGAGCAGCGTCGCCATACAAACTGCCCAATAGTTGTGATCGGAGGGTGGATTGCTGGTGCAAAGCTGATTGGCGTGTGCCTCGGACAAACATGGCGTGTTTGAAGCAAAAGAGTAGTCGTGGCAACCGTCTTGGAGTATGTAGGAAGCGTTGGACTCAACAATGAAGGGAGAAGGAGATTTGGCTATCTAAAAGGCAGCAAAAGGGGCCTTGACACCGCGTCCACTTTTGGCGACCGTTACAGTCGTGAGTCTCAGGTGGTGGTCAATGATAGAACGATTTTGGGAGCATTTTTCAGGTAGTAAGTTGAGAGACATTGAAGTAGGAAATCAGAAGGAGAAATGAATAGAGAACGTTGTATCCAGAGGGTACTTTTCATTTGCCTCTCAGCAAATGTTCTTGTAAACGGAGCTGAGTCCAAGAAATGCGTCCACTATGATACAGTCAGGACTATTCATGACCTCAAAAGTTTTCGCGTTATGATGGAAGTCGACTTTATAACCTTTGTTCCTGTCTAGTGGGTGACAATAATGCAGTTAACTACATTGCGATAACCAAAGTGGAAGAGTAACCGAGGAGAGCACCAAGAACGATGAGAACTTTTGAAGTTTCTCGGGATTCGAATTTCACACTGGTGGAATAAAACTCTGATTCTTTTCTTAGCCCTTTTGCGCGTTCTAGTAAAAGCGTATGATTCAGATATCTAGTACGCCTTAAAAGCCGGTTGAAAATTTACATCTTTAAGCATCACCATTGTAAATGCACAGAGGGGATAGAAGGCCACTAGAATAGGTAGCATGAAGAGTGCCGTTAGGGACCAATTGTAGGAAATACAATAAAAAAAGCAAAAGAAAAATTAGGATTTTACAAGACTTTAGCTAAAACGTCGACAGATGACAGAATGACCTTGAAAATAAATTCATAATAGGCGAGATCCGTACCTTAATACGTTCACCACGTTCGTCACATATATGTGACGCCCCGACCTTCTTATCTATATGTGCAAGTCATGCACAAGTAACAGGTTTAATTAAAAGGAACTGAACTCGATGGGAAAGAACCGACACGATAAAGACAACTGATGCTAATATGGAATAGTAAAACATTAGTACGGCGGTACTGGAGTCACCTCTAAAACGAGACCCCGGTAGAAGCCAAGTAGAAGCAAATTTATCCTAAATCACCAACAAAGGGTAGTTCAGCCCAAATTTTACAGCGGTTTTTTTATGCTATTAACCAACTCCGAGTGGTTACTAGGAGACGGAAATTTAAGATGAGAAAACAAGAGACAACTCACACGCGCAATATCTTCTGGTCACAATCACACAAAAAGAGACCAGCATAGGCGGGGCATGAAGGCAGGAGCATTACCACTCAAATACAACTTTATTTACCATCTACGCCAAAAAACTTTTGCAAAAGGGACTTCTTTAGACCGAAGGCATCAAATTAAGGTGGAAATGCAGTCCACGTTCAGCAAAGCTGCTATGAAAAGTGGCTCCGAAGTACAAGACTGGAATAAGATCCACCAACTTGGGATATTATTCTTGTCTGATAACTTGAGTCAAAAGGCCTTTTAGTACAACTCGTAGCGCCATTTAACACAAATAACCTTAAGAAATGAATATGGGCGAGAAAAATTGTGGTAAGACGAAACTCGTTTAGAAAAGGGAGAATGAAATGAGTAGCGCGGGTAATGAATGGATCGTCTGAGGGTGACCAATAACATGTTCGCACCCATACTGTGGAAATAAAACGAACTTTTCTTACTAAGAATCAGTCTGCAAATAATCCCTTTCAATGGACGCGCTTACACAAGGCATATGAAAGTAGTGAAGGAGAGGACGAATAACCTGATCCACCCAACGCATGACATAAGGGGTAGGATTCATTTGCCGAGTACTTTCTACGCTTTCCCCTTCCCAATCGACGATGTACGTGTAACCCAACTGTTCCATCAGCGTCATTGATGACAAACTTGACTTAAATTTAGTCCTCTCTTCCTTCCTCTTCTTACAAAATGAAGGGCGATGGCCCTGCCCTTCAGTGGTTCCCCACCAGAATCAAAGTGTTAAGACCACATAATTCAACACGGTGCTTTCTGTTACCACCTAAAATGCCCTTTCAAAGAATGGTATAACCAATTTGATGAGAAATTACTGCACCAGATAGATAGGCTGGAACCACATCCACCAGGTTGGCTCAACCGACATTGAATGGAGTGAGGATTTAACAAGTCAGAGGAGTAGTGGAGAGCACATTAATCACCTACCAAGGAAGCTGAGAGCATAGCAACTCTGAGTAAGGAAACCGAGCCTGTTCCTATCGAGGAGCAATGTCTAGAGATAAGCTTTTATTTTGTTTGAAAGGAATGTTTTGCATAACTAGATCAGCGGTGACCGGGGGCGTCGTGAGCAAGAGAGCGAAATAGCGAAGGAGAAAAATGCAAATGACGCCAAGTTGGCACCGCAACTGCATGCAAATGCGATCAACGCAAGCATGCTAGCGAAGGATAGCAAAGAACGGAAAGGTGGGTGTGATGCAGATAACAGATGTGGAAATACAATATACCCGATGGTAGCGGAGCGTAAGCAAAACCTGTCTACAGGGCAGCTCCATTGCCTGCAATATTAGGAAAGAAAATTGGTTTAAACGGAACCAGCTCCTTCACTTTCTTCTCTGGGTGAGAATAGGCGCAGCAAGAGAAGTGGGTTGGGAGTGTCTAGACACGGAAATGTATGCAAAATTGAGCGTCATTTCTTGGGAGTTCGAGTCAGTCACACACAAATGGATATTTACACACACGTACTTGCGGTGATAGACGGTCCACATACCGCACCCTTTTCATTGCAGTAACAAGCCCGACTCAGAAATTTTGTAGTCCAAAGTGATGCATTTAAAGGCAGTCTTAGAAAGGCTAGAAAACGACTACATTGGAATGATTTGCTGGTCTTTGGAGAATATCTAGTATTTTGTAAATCAATGCGGTTTTTTAAGCAAGGTGGACGTAACACATCGGTTACCAGTATCTAGGGGAAACACCGGTCACGACAGTCTGAGTGACCAATTCATGTACAGCTCAAAACAAATTAAAACAGTACAATTATCCATATGCCATAGGAAAACTACGCCTGTTCTACACTTTTCAACTCAACTAATCTATTTACAGCTTACGATTTGGTGCGATCAATCATCTTAAACTGACAAGAAACACCTGTCACATATGTGTGACGTGCGGAGTCAGGTAAGAAAACTGGAAAACTTTAGATTCGTCGGGATAAGTTAGTGCTGTATATTAACCATTGAAAGTAAATAAAAGACCCGACTTAGATAAATAGGCGCATTTCTATCATAGTTCATCATTATGCACGGCTTTGGTCTTGGCTCAAACCTTTCATCGCTAGCACATAGTTATTCTCTGGAGTAGAATTACTGGAACAAAACGCCTCAAACCTGCAACACACATAGGTTGCACGCATTCATCAGCAGCCACACTTTCGCCGGGCCAACTTTATCCATGTTTTGAGCTATCTGCATTAGTGTCATGATAAAAGTGTTGACAGACTTTGATTTCTTTCTCAGAGAAATGGATAACACTAATGACAATCCCCGAGGCGAGTTTGCCTTGTCAACAGCAGCCAAGTTTAGGTGCCAACCGAATAGTGACTCACCTTAGCGCCTAGGTAGAACAAACACTTCAAATTTACCGCTTTGGTGGATTTGTGACTGCTCTCGGCACCAAATCATCTACTTTTGTTACTTTATAATCACAAGCATTGTAAAAGAAATTACTAGCGCAGAAGTCGGTTCAATGTTTACCATGTACTCAACGCCAGTGTCTCTCTGAGGAGAAGATCAACTGCTCCAGCTCAGGCGTTCTATCTTTCCTAAGTGACGTCAATTGCCATTCAGATTTTTGACTAATTCAACTGCAATTCAACAAATCGTGGTTACTTTCAGACTAAGACCAAAAAAGTCCTCCTCCGACCGCTTGCATGAATGGATTGTCAAGCATGAATATGCGTAAATCTACCGTAAAAGTGTGGTCCATTGTCTTCGCCACTACGTCACTGTCCTGTTGAACCTTCACCTCATACAATACCAGCTGAACCAACCTGGTGGATGCGATTCCTGTCTATCTCTCTGTCGTAGTAGCTTTGCATCAAATTGGTTTTATATTATCCTTCGAAAGGGCGTTTTAGGTGGCAACAGAAAGTACCATGGAAAATTAAGTGGTCTCAATACTTTGATTTTGATGGGGAATCATTGAGAGGCGGAGGTATCACATTCACGGGATCCCTTCATTTTTTGCGATGAAAGGAAATTACGTGTCACTATAAACTGAAGCGGTTGGAAAACCAAGTGTGAGGGAGAAGCAACTTTCCATAGGGCTTGTCGTGAATGATACTGATGGAACAGTGGGGTTACATGCACATCATCAACTGGGAAGAGGAAAGCGTAGAAGGTACTCGGCAAACAGATCCTACCCCTCATGTCATGCGTTAAAGGGATGGCAGATCGTAAGTTTGAAGGTGTGTCAGGTTGTTGTTCTTCCTTAATTCTCTAACGTGCCCTATGCAAACGTATCCACTGGAAAAGGTTGTTTGCAGAATGACCCTTGATGAAAAATGGCTTTTATTGCCACGTGGAGCTGGAGATAACACTTTTGATAAGCAAGAGCACACAGCTAGGATGTGTCGATTAGTGAGTAAAAAGTCTTATTCATATTCGCATGAAGCAGCGTAAATTCACGTTCCCCACGCTATAAAACGTACAATCGAGAAAATTCACACTTTAGGGTGGGAGAGATGAGAGGGTGTGGTACTGCCTCAACCTTACTATCACCTTCTACACTCCCTTCCTATTTCTTCAAGTAATATACATGGCTTCTACTTGGCTTAGGCTTTAGAAAATCACATGATAACATGCCAAATAGAATGGAGAGTTGGGAAATAAAAACTAAGAAACACAGGCAGGTGAATAGGACTAGGTCCTTTTCCCAGCGTCTAGAGAGAACACGGTCTATGAAAGTGTAACTTGCAGCAAGGTAATGGTAAGTCCGGAAAGGATTATAGATGGCAAAGTATTTAAAGAAACTTTTGACAGTTACTTCGTTCTACTATAAATACTGCATGAAAGCATTTGGCTATCCTATGGTAATGCTACTTATTCTTAGAAATAAGTAGCCACCTACAGAAAAATAAGTCCCAGTGGGTACTTTTTTCGTGGATTTTGAAGATTCACAGTTATGCTGCAGCTCAAAAAATCTGAATTACTTGAAAATTTTCGTGAACATTATATTATTGCCTTCGCAAAAGCCATGAAAGTTTCCGTTTGAAAAATGATTAGCAAATCGGACAACAATAGCCGAAAATCATAGAATGTTTGCCGAAAAAATTGTGCAGTGATGCGATTAGTTGATCGGGAATTGTTAAGTTTTCAAATACAAAGCAGTAAACACTCAGTGAAAATTCACCAAGGTAAAAGAATTAACAATCTGAAGGGAATGTGGATGCAAAACTGGGCTTGAAATGAACGAAAGTAAAAGCACTTGGATTCTCTTATTTTGAGTACTGTGAGTTGAAGGTACGCCAAGGGCACAAATTCACCTCCAATGGACATAAGGACAAAGTTGGCTTCCAAGCCGGCTCACCTCACGCAAATCCACAGCTATCAGATGTCGCGATTGGATCACACTGACCTGATAGGTGAAGACGTCAACCCCGAAAACATCCCAACGATAGTCACCGAGGTAGAGAGCAAAATCAGCACTTTCCACACATCCCAAAGTGGAATTCGAGGTAAGACTTGCGGGCAGTTGAAGAAGACTCCGCAGTATTTGCAGCCTCTGCTTGGCGGGCGCCTGAAACAAAACCAACAAAAGGCTTATTTTTGTCACAATTTAGGGAAATTCAGTCCTACGACAGGTGCGGCTAAGGGCCTTTGCGTTAGGTACTTGAATCTCGCGGATTTCAGCGATGAAATGCTATACGGAGATGGCGTCAGTAGATCAAATCCCGTTTTAAACTAACAATTTGAAAAGAAAGCTCAACATTTGATTTTATGGCAAATTATGCATGTCATTGCGGTTAACTCAGATTGACGATGAGAGAATGGAGGTCCGTCAGGCCATCTCATTTATTTAGACAGATTGTTATTTTAAGACAAACATTATCGGCATGCAACCTCGAGTTCTGTACAGTGGCCAGTAATGGAGTGAGACTGTGGGTAAACGAAGGGAAGTAGTCTTTAAGGAAGTACTTATAAGTTGTACTGGCTACCGCCGTACATGGCAAGAACCTGAAACCTGATCTAGGCAGGGTGGTGGCTGGCAATGACATGGTAACAAGGTATAACGGAGGAACCTATAGAGCAAACAGCCTCTCAAAGTTGCATTACATTGTGTATTACTAAGTAATCTTTTGTTTTTTTTTTCTTCACCTAACACGCATACAAAACGCGCTTAAGTGGTAACATAAGATAAATCCTCAGGTTGCAGCTCAGTGGATTAAACGAGTCTTCGCTTACATATTGTGGATCATCTTACGATCGTTGTTTCGGCATTAAGAGTGGTCGATGTACACCTAACTCCCCTAAGATGACTGAAGTAGGAGAGCAATCACAGGTGTCACCGGTGATGACAGTCTCCCGAGCTTGGCAGGTGTCAGGGGTCATGTCCAGGGTCTTTAGTATGTTTAAACAAATCTACTTCCAACCTGAGATGTCTTATTTCGCCCTATGGTGTAACTTGAGTGATACATTTTTATCACAAAAAAATCAAGTTGATCATGAGGACAACACACAAAGATAAACTGGGAGAGGGACTTAGCCGTCCCCCCTTCCAAGGTCATGCGACCACAGGCCCCCAACTGGATGGGGAAGGGCCAACCCTCGGAGGCGGGGAAGGTGTGCGCGATAACTGCGTGCGGATTAATGGCGATGTTGAAGAGGAGAGTTAATTCGTCGAAGCGCAACCATCGACTTTGAGGCGGGAGATTGGGATTGGCTGAGCGCTCACGATATCTGGTGGTAGGGGTGAAAAGAAAAGATATTTAACCCCCTCCACTTTGGAGGATGTTGTGATTAGAAAAGCGTCCGCATCGCCAAAGCCACTAGAGCCTTTAGGGAAAACACAGGCCCTACAGAACAAACAATAGCTAACGCATGGCTAAAGGCCAAACCTTTTCTTCACACAATTTACTCACATGGAGCAAGCATCTTTCACAATACGTCTCTACAGTATGGACTTAAAGTGAAATCATCATTTTGGGGATGGCAAGTCCCTACCACTAGGAAATTAAGCCCACAAACTCAAATGAACTGAACAAATTTAAAGTAAAATGTCCACGTAGGCTTTCAAGAGAGATATTCGAGTGAAAAGCTACCATGACGGTAATGAGCAGCACCAGGTAGCAGATGTGTTGCAGTACTGTCCATAGAAGTCGGTATGCGTATTTTGCATCACTCCGGACACCGTAGCGCACAGAGCGCCTAATTCTGTGCGCCTAATCGGCTCAAAACCAACCTGTCGTGTGTTGGAAATGGGCGGGACGAATCATTCCGTGAGAAAGGAGAAAAAGTGCAACCACCTACAGACATTTGCGATTTCAAAAATTCTGTGCAATTTGATTAATCAAGGTACCTCTTCGCAAGCCGTCCAAGGATGATTTTCCGCCACACTGACTAGACATTCCATTAAAAAACTTTCTAGACTAAGTTCCAACTAGTTCAAAAGCCGCCCATATCTAGGAGATAACCTACCTCGACTGAATGAGTTGCAGGAGACGTGATGAAGCGCATCGCGTAAAAGTCGATGTGGAGCGAAGCAGGTCTACACCGATGGGATCGCCAGTTCCTGGTCCCGTGGTGGGCATCCAACGCCAGATAGAGAGATGCGGAACACAGCGCGGTTGCGGTGATCCCTCCTGAAGGTCTTCGGTTCTTTGACGGCGACACACCTCAACGTCGACAGCCTCAGAAGTGGCTGGGAATTGAAGACAACGGAGGACGGCTGGTTTCCTTTCCAACATGCCTTGAAGGAGAATTAAAGACTTCGCTCTTGAATTATCATGACAAACAACTTGATTTTGATGGACATTGTGACAATAATGTCGATGATAATAATTCAAGCAAGAAGTTTAGACAGATGAGTAGAGACGAGGGGTAAAACGGCCTGGATAAATTTTTGATAGAAAAAAAAGATTTCTCAAGGACATTTTTGCCAAAACATTGATAAACGAAGACGTGGGACATGGTAGATGAGCAGAAGGAGCGGATACAAAGTGAGACCTTGGGACCTATATTAAAGGGTTCATATTCACCACCAATCAAATAAAACAGTCCATCCACAGTAGTCGCATCGAAATATTGAGTAAATAAACCTCAAAAAAGAACGACAAGGTCAGATGACTTAGTTTTGTCCGGTATTAAATTAAGGGAGGTCTCATCAGAGCAAAAAACCCAACATCTGTGATGCCCCTAGAGGGTAAGACGCCGACGACGGACAATGGCGAAATAAAATCCTAAAAAAGCGTCCACGAATCTTTCATTCTTTCAACTTTACCTTAGAAAAGTTCCGATGCGTGAATAACCGTGAATAACCAAATGTGTCAGTCGACCGTCACAACTGCTTACCGGGTGAACGAGAGGTGAGTCATATCGAGATTCAAGAGATGCAACATTATCTGTTCGCATATTTTAGTTTTCCTGTGGCGCTTCATTGGGAACGAAAGCAAGTGACCTAAAAAGGAAGACTAAACCGCAGGTTCTAAGGCTTTTTTGTTAGATGAAACAATGTCCTCAAATGCATCCAGTACGCTAGTTCGCTCAAGTAATGAAATCACTTAGATACTCCTCCAAATTTTAACAGCACATCTGCCTTTGATTCAACGGTTTAAAGCGAAATAATTGGAGTTAGAAAAAAAGTTGCCTGAGGGCTAGCCGAAAAATGACCAATTTGAAAAAAAACTTTTAAAAGAAAAAATTAGACAAAATGGCACTCTCATTACTCCATAAGAAATCATGCTTTCAATCAAAATAATACAAAATTAAGGAAGGTTTGAACAAAGAAAGGAAAGCAAATTGATCGTGGCGCCAAACATGGCGAATGGAGGACAAGTAGTATCCCAGAAACTTGCTACTTATTTATTAAAAGTAGAATAACTTAACTTATTGCACCTGTTGCAAGCTTCTGCCGGCAAATTATCAATTCTAACAAAATTCACGAAGAGATCAACATCTTAAGTTTAGAATACAGGTTGGCGCTTTGCGATTGACTGTTAGACCGTAGGCAACGATCGACTTGCCTCATTTGAAACACAAAGATTCGCACTGCAAATAAGCGTGACTAACCCAAATCCACGTCAATCCGATCACCGAGCTTCTCAAAGTCACTAGCATGGATCGGCCGACTGCCATAGAAGGTGGCCAATCGGACATCACCTCTGAAGAAGGCGGGACACACCGATTGGCCGAAACAGGAGGGACATTTCGCCACCTCCAAACGGTCGATATCAATCGGCTTCAGTTTTGATTGAGAGAAAAGGTAGATACCAACCACCAAAGCCGTGATTAAGCCCGCACTGGAGGTGTAGAACCAAGGCGAGAGAACAATGGCTTGACAGCATCTGTGACGTTTTTCGGATGGATCTATGCTATGATAGACCACAGTGGATTGGGGCGCTTCGGAAGTCTGAAATGGCATTTAAATCGGAAAACATAACCGAGCTGGGAATTATTGAGTAGTATACATCGGTGTTTGACTTAGCTAACGCCGGAATACATTGCACAATGGTATAACTCTTCAACTAGCAAGATTATTTGCGCTAGAATGGCACTCGGGTTGGTGGTGCTGACCTCGATGCATAATTGGCACTCCTGAATATGGTTAGACCTAACGGAAAGCATGCTTGAATAAACAATCTCCATGATTTAGGGTAGCAGTTAAAATGAAACAGACACGAGCACGCAAGTCGGAGGAACTTCAGATTATATTGCTTGATTAGATAAACTAGCCTCAGTATATTTCAACCCAACGAATTGAAATAGCGTGGAACCCACAAAGTGGACACTGTCAGTAGTCTCCGCTACCAGAGGAATCACGGAAAATGTCAAAGCATATCCCCAGGCACCTTCAGGAAGTAAATACTACCTATGACCCGGGTTGGCGAGTAGGGGGACGCTCTCACACCAGCCCAAAAAAGGGAGACAAAACTGCAACTTGGCTCAATTTAAAGGATCTCGGTACTTGCAATCGGTACGACGAATAAGCGTTCTCAGCCCCACATAATGCGCCTGACCCTAACCAAGTAGATCAAAACAGCAAAATGGGCAAAACGCACTACTCGTTGAGTGAGTAGTGCTGAGTGCAGGACACAAGCATAAGTGCACGGGTGCGAAAACATCAGACTGAATTTCCGATGACAGAGAGAAGGGAAGACGATCATTATTTGACGAATAGTTTAATGTCATATAAGGCATGCTGATTTGTTGTTCTTTTGTAGAATAATACAATCTGCATTACAATTATGTGAAAGGAGAGATGGGAGAGGATTAAATGCAGTGTACAAAAATGTGGAAGGCCTGAAAATTGGCTTCTCCCTTGCTCGGGTGGCGACAAATGAGCTTGAACATCTACGAGGACGACGCAAGGTACTAGAAAAGAAAGAAAATGCATGGATAAAATCAACACCTTTCCTCGTGGAGCATCCGAAGAAAATCAACCACCCGTGCGCCAGATGCTTAACCGCTCTAATGTGACAGCGATGTCATCAAAAGTGAAATTATCTTCCTGAGACAAAAAACACCCCACACCCTCATCGCAAAACTTGCCAGTTGATAATTCTAACAGTTCGCTCTCTTAGTGGCTTGAGGGCTCTTTGAACTAACTTGAATCAGTCAACAGTTTGAATTACGAGCTCAAAAGCCAAAGGGTTGTAGCGACGCAGGCAGCTCAACACACTGATGGCAGATGCGGTCAGAAGCCATTCATGTTAATCGCTGACATGAGAAGTTCGGCTGACAGGTGATTTTAACGCCAGAATTGCCTCACGCGTCACGTGGGAGACTTCAGCTGAGCGAGCTAGGTTTATCATAGCTGCAGAGGAAGCTGTTCGCCAAACGGCAAATGCAAAACTCAACATAGCAAAAAGAAATTACCATGAGAGGATTATACATCGTAAAAAACTACTTTAAAGGCATGGCTCATGAATAAACGGAGCTTAAAGATTAAAACTGCCTCCATGAGCTTGATTAAAGGCCCCGATTGTATGACTAGTGACAAATGATCGGATGTGATAGACTCCACCGTCACCACCTCTTTGCCACAGGCACCATCACAAAAAAAATCCTTCGACTTTCGAAAATTTGTCGATTTAGAATAATCAACTAGCAGTGATTTTGGTTTCGCGGTAGAAAAAAATAAGCGATAACAATGGGAGGACAACTTACCTCTTCAATAACACAGTTGATAAACTGCTTCTTAGGGGAGAGGTCAAAGTCTTTGTACTGCTCAGAAATCTAGGCGATAGAAAAGGCCTCATTTTACAAACTTGGTTAGACCACTGTGACCGAAAAACCCCAGGATCAGATTTATGTGGTTAAAGACATGCACTCAACCTCAATATTCTACTTATCAAAACACATATTAAGAAGCCTTTTAATAAAAATCTGCTAAGAGTGCTGGTGAATCATGTTTTGTGAAGAGAGATGACCGATAAGGCAAAGAACATGAAGACTAAAGAGCATTGGACCCATCCATCCAAATAACCATACACTTACAGAATTTCGCACGACCTTCATGGAAACCTCATTGAGATCGGCGGTCTTCAAGATGTCCAAAACCTTTGATTTGAGCTCCTCATCACTGGGGAAGGTCGCCGAATGGGAGACAACATTGGACGGTGACGCATCACCCTCAACATCAGCAACCCCTTCCTCTGCATTACCGATCTCTTTCGCCTGCTTCGCCTCTTTCATTTCATCGTTGGCGCTTTTAACTTCTACATCCGCTACTTCGTTTTCTTCTTTAGTAGAGCTTTTATCATAATCGTCGACCTCATCATCATCACTTTCAATCACTTGCTTCTTCCTTCGCTTCGCTTTCCGTGGTGACTTGCTCTTCCTCGCCACAACTGTCGACTTTCGTTTCTTAACCACTTTCTTCCCCGGAGCGTAATCTGCATCCGATTTCCCTGATTCCTCCTCTTCCTCTTCTTCTTCATATTCATCCTCATCCTCGCCTTCCGGCTCTGCTGCTGGTTCAGCTCCTTCTTCTTCTCCTTGTTCATCATCATCAGAGAGGACGCCAAGTTCATCGCTTTCCGTCTCACCCTCCTAAAAAATTCAGCATCAAACAGAAAGAAGAGGAGCTAAAGTGCAGCAGTCACTTGGCAAAACTCACCTTTATGCTCTTTTTTGACTTCTTTGATGTCCCCTTCTTGTTGCTCTCCTCCTTTTTGGAGAGAGACTTGCGACCGGCGCCTGGTTTGCGCTTGGAGGGAGGTAACTTGCCCTTGTACTTCACCGCGTCTGCCACGGGCTTGAGGAGGAAATCGAGCAGACGTGTAACGAGTTGGGCTCGCGTACCGGACACCTCGAGATGAAGCTGACGCAGAGCGTTCTGTACTTCTTTCACTGGCTTCCTATAGATGAGCGGGGAAAAACAGGGGTAGATTGTTAGCATTAATTTACACCAATTGCTGAATAGAGTGTCATCGGGCAACAAGGCATTGAACCAACGTGGGAATGATAAAAAACTACCGCATCATGAGGATACCCGTTTCAACGGTACATTTAAAGAAGTGAACGTTCTCAGTCCCTCACTCTCATCGCCACTCTGTTGGCATGGAGCGACTCTACTACCCTTCCGACCCCCATGTGCATTGAGAATAAAACTACTTTTGAAATGATACGCCCTATAGTACCTTCAGCAATAACTTGAACGCTAGGCCAAAAAGGTAAATGGTGCGTTAAAGGTAATTTACAGATCATAATGCACGTCATGACAAATTATTATTATACCTCCTTCAACAAAATACGGAGCAAGAATTGTTCGGTTTGTTTTGTCTCCTAGTCTTTCGCATGGGTCCCGACATGCATGTTTACCAGTTTATACATAGGCATTTAATCAACTAGCACACTCTAGAAACGAAAGCGGAACTTGCGCTAAATCAACTACTAGCATTAGTTGATAAACCGTTTCAAATGTTTTTGGCTGTTTTTAGGAACAAAGGTGAACACGAAAGATCGCTGTAATGTAAATTTTTAGGAACACCAACCCAATGCACTTCACGCTGCATATTACGCCATTTAGACAAAATGATTACCACGCAATCATAAGTGATATTCAGATCGAATGCCCTTACAGTGGAAATATACTTCCCAGTGTGTCAAAAAGTTACTGATCCAAATAAACTAAAATCTTCGGACCCAATTTCCCAGCAGACAATAAAAAAATCTAAGCTTAACCCAAATATGCAGTAGCAAACAGGAAGCCACTAACAGAGAAATCCGATTTACAATGAAAAATGTTGTCATTGTTGATGTTGTCAGCTTTAAAAGATTGCCGATTTTGAAACCATGGAATGAAATCCGACGTTAAGCAGGTTTTCTGTGTTTCCATCTCTAGGTCAGGGATGTTTCCAGGTCAATTCGTTCCCGTGGAAACAACTCACCGGAGGGGTAACCATTAAATAAAACCTGAATATTTTCCACTCTTCTTATCTAAATTGTAATTTGACTTTCAAACAATAAATAACATTCGCCTATTAAAGGTTATTGCTGCTACTAGAATGAAGCCTCCAAAACAACTTGCGTAGTAGGGGACGTCACAAGTTAATCCCAATGAAGTCTATCAGATATGCCGCCACCATTAAAATGGAGCACTTTCTTATTATGATGCGGCTTAAACAACAACACTTTTGCTACCGACGTGAGTGATTTTGGTGCGACTGCTACCTTGACGTTTGCCCTAAAGTACGACCAAACAAAGCACGGCAAATAGCACCCAAAGTGAATCTGGAGCTAGACGGAAAGTCGACACTATAGACGCGAACATTTCGCATCACTGTCCAAAAACAGCTCCAGAAACAATCTGGGGGCAAGGAAGCTGGGTTCATTCAAGCCGGTAAGGGATCAGGCTTGCCGCCCTGAGAAAACGACACACTGAAACAACGCTGTACCAAATCACAACAAGCACGCATCAGAGGTACGAACTTAACAATCTTGCCTTTTGAATACTGACACTTTTGGCAAACGGGTTTAAAATCAAAGCTGCAGCATCATTTGCTTCAGTGCATACAACCACTCAGGTCTAATCTTACAGAGAGCTGGCCAAAGGCGAGAAAACACTAAGTCACCTCAACACTAACAAGTATAATATATCAACTTTCCAAAAGGAAGACCTACTTGTTGAGAAACTGTACACGTTTCCCATATTCTTCCGACTCGCGATCAAAGGAAAACCCGTTAAATTTGCGTAAATTTGACCGAACCTCAGCAACACCGCCAGCGCAACCGAAGCAAGCGTAATGGAGGGTCTTTAAATCCATGGGTTTACATGTGCGAATGGACGCCTCAATCAGAGGAATCTCGCTCAGGGGAGTGCCAGAACCCTTAGCCAACTGGGCAGCCACTGCATCATGGGCCTTCTCCTTTGCAGCCTGCTCATCCGCATAGCGCTTACTCATAGTCTCAGAGAACCGCTGCACCTGCCTTCGAACACGAACCTGACGTGTTTCGCCATCACCACCACCACCGCCAGCACTGGTTTGTCCGTCAATCTCCGCTCTCTGTTGCTGTTGATTCTCACCAACTGCTTCAGTTTCGCCACGTTTTTCATCCTTAAGCTCTTCTGTGCGTTTAAGAAGTGAGTGGTCCGTGGAAGGAGCAACGTTTTCTGAATTTTCTGTGACTTCGGCTTCCATTGTGCTGAATATAATAAGAAAAAAGGATGAAACTACAAGATCCGCAAATAAGCACTATAAAATACACAAAGGCAACACTCAAGCAGAGCATAATAAAGTCGAATGTTGGGCAACATGGCGGATGACACTGGCTGTCGTTGGTTTCGAATCAATAACAGGTAAACAGCACGCATCTTGGCAAAACACGAATCATGTACACAGAAGGCGAAAACAACTACCCAAAATAAAGCAATCAAATGAGTGAAAACCAGAGATCCGACACCGATAAGCCATGTCATCGTCAGAAGTGATTCGAAGTAAACAAAAATGATGAACAACATAAGCAACGCATAGTACGGGTGCAACCATTTCCGAACAGTAAAGAAACTACAGAAAAAGTTTCGAAATTGGATGCAACGCACCCTATCTACGCTCTGTGAAGCCAGCAAAGCATTAAACACCAGAAGCAAAATCCAAGGATCCTATTTTAGCAGACCCCGCTATTATGAGAAGCCTTTTAAACGCATGGATTTAAACTCTGTTCCTCGAGTTCATCCGGATTCGTAGTTGTTTGGTTTAAAAGCGCAGAGTTTTTGCAAAAATTAGTTTAAAAATAACAATTATTAAAATTTGTACTAAGCTTGGGCATAATAAAACATGACATTTTCATATATCATATATGTTAAGATTGAATCAATTAGATCAAAATTGCATCTTTCCTCTTTAATTTTCCACATGTCTCAAAAACAGATAAGCTTATTTGAGCAAATGTATTATAGATTTTTAGGAACAATTCTTGTGTATTTCTGATACCATTTTCGATGGCACACCCTTGTGTTGACATTAAATGGTTTTTCACTCATACATTTGCAATGTTTGCACTTGACGGAGCTTCCGAGATGACCCTTTGGTATGTTTATGTGCGGCTAATCAATCTTTAATTAACCATGAAATATTTACGGTGTTTCTGTCGCGTTCTTGAAGCCAACAAGGGTATGAAACTCCTTAAATTGTTATGCTAATAACCTTACAACTCCATACATCTTCAATTTTTGCAGTTGACAGTCACAAATTTCTTCTTTCAGGACTGTTAGAACCACATACCATCCGTTGTAGCAATGCTAGTTTCCTATTTAAAAGCCCCAACTTATCGCAGCCTTTTAAAAACCTCAAATGCAAAAGCTCATTCCAAATTATATTGCACTTATTGACAAATCTTGTCCCTAAATTTAGTCCTTGTTCTTCCTGCTTTGCTTAGTTGCAACTGGACTGGCTAAGGATATGTGATATCTTGTGCGCATTTGTGTTTTGTTACATTGTTTGCTACATTGTGTACCGGAGGCTTCCACTGGAACAGATTAATTTTGAATCTTGAAAGGGGCCTGAATATCTCAACACCATTTCATTAAACAGTTGATTCCAATTTGCCACCTAAGCTGCGTTTTATGAGTCTCGTAAAATAGTTAGCAAAAGTTGTTATAAGACGAATCTGGGAGTCAGATAGCCGCATGTATAATTGCGGCAAATAAGTCGAAATAATGGAAAAGTCATGAAGTAGCTTTATAATTTAATGACTAAAACAGTAGATGTAGGGGATGTAGTATTTCCGTTATTTTTCCCATCCTACCTCCGATTTTAAACCCTTGGATCGAGAGGACTGCTCCGAAGAAGACATCGTGCATTGCGCAGTATGGGCAGTTGACACTGCTTACCGAAAAATGGAGTTTTAAGAGGTCAATTGTTAAATACAACTATAGTGTAGTGCTCTCCGTCTTCACTGTATTACGGAACTACATATAGTACGAGGGTGTAGAAGGGCTGGTAGAGCGCACCTACAACCTGCGGAGACTGATGTGTCCGCGCAGTGCTCCATAGCTGCAGTATCCTTAGGAAGAAATTATTAAAGACCACCAGGAATTCGGACTGATTCAAACCATTCACAATAAGTGCCTTCCCTGAACGATGCTTCGACGTCGTACTCAGTCAAGGGAGTCGGAGTAGTTGCTCTTCTGTACCGGGTTTGATGAGAGATAGCATTATGGTGAAGAGACATGGTATAGGGGGTACTGGAGGGGCTGGTGGGAATAGGGATGGACGAAATGTGCAAAATGATGACTCCGGTTGCCTAATTATGTATTCAAAGCAAATGTAGTTTTACTACCGAGCTATGCAAAATTTTTCACTACTAACTCAGTGAATTTTCTCATTCTCCACTTCACCAATCAATGGCGATCACTAATAAAGGGTTTTGTTGATCTTTCATCGGCATTTATTTGAAGTTCATTCCTTTTCCCTGTTTTAGATGGAATGCATTCCTCCTACTCTTCATGTCACGTAGATTTTGGCATTGGGTGCCAAGTGTAACAGTCACAACGAAGACACACAATCGCATTTCCATGGCTCCTCCTGACCGTATGCAAATAGCGGAGTCATCAAAATCACACTGGCTAAAATTTACATAAATGCATCGCGAAACAGTGGGCCAAAATCAGTAGGCACCTTTATGTCTGCTTAGAGTTCGCATTACCGTTAAGGTCATCATAGATTAGGCGCATTTGAAAGCAATGGGAATTTATTAGTCTTTGACATAGCTACCCTTGTATTCAAGGTATCATTAAACTACTTATTTTTAAATCAGAAAATTACTTTACTTGAGACTACGAGTTTCTTTTTGTGAAGGCAGGGTAACTTGAATAATCTTAAAACGCCGAAGTGCTTTTGCAGTGTCTGACTGAGTTTGACTTGGAACTCTCATAATAGACTTTCAGCCCATGTATGAGACAGATGTACCTCAGTGATTACTTCAAAGCAGAGAATCTACAGTAAGCTCGACCTCTGCCACGAATCGGGGTCTGTGTGCCTGGCTTGGACCCATAGGAGATTTCAACCAGACTATCGGTTTAAAGGCCATTTTCTACCGGCTTAATAGTAAGCGAAAGGGGAGAGCAGCAGGTCCGTACGGCCCCAGTGGTTAGAGTGGCGGAGAGTAACCCGAGTGTTTTTAAGCTGTTTCAGTTACAGCTAATTGTAGTAACTGGTTGACCTTATCTTTAGAGTGGTTATGTAATACGATGGTTGTTTATCCCTCGGTACTGGCTAGGGGCGACTTTTGAATTGGCCTTTGTACCGCGCCGGGTGGGCTGGCCTCTGGGGCCATACCAGTAGCCCAAATACCTTGCCTGTGCCGAATGTACATATTCTGCCGGAGTATTTTGTTTTCTTTTGTCTTCGAGGAAGTTTTGGGACTCTAGAGTTACATATTCTTGATGTGGGTGATCAAAGGGAAACGAGTGAGAAAACGATTCTCTAGAATGTTCAGGGATTAGCCATCAAATGAAAACGTCTGTGGACTCGGACAAAAACACTTTCTGAGGCTGGAGGCGTCCCCAGCAATTTCATTGGGCGGTTATTGGATCAAGGTGGCGTAGATGAATCATGTCAGCCGTGAAACAACCAATTTACAACTTAAAGATCAAAAACATTACGCTACATCTAAGCTACTTTGCGAATACTGCGTTCTAAATGGTGGAAAGTCGTATAAGTTGGAATGGAATGAGTTTGTCCTTTAGGACACTCTTTTAAACACTGGAAAGAGATCTGTGAAGTGCATAAAAGATGTACAATTTCGAATTAGGGAAAATGGTGAGGAGAAAAGTGATCGGAGTACAAAATTTGGTTCGCAGACAGGATGTGCCAGGCAATTCCACTTAACTCTTTGAAGCAAAACTTTGGTTTCACTTGAATGTTGTCTGGTAGTGAAAAATGCCCATCAAATGATCCTGTCTCCTCACTGGTAGGTGTTGCCATCGCTTTCAACTGCTCCGTGATGGCTGCGGGAACACGATATATGTCACTCCAAAGGAGGGAAATGGAGTGCGAGTAACAAAATGGCATTTGTTTTAATCCTCCATTTATTCGACCTTGTCCTCAAAGTCTCCACAACGGTAGCGCAGAGCTCTGTTCATAAAAATCCACCTACTAGAACCTGCCATCCTTTGTTACATATATACTAAAATAGCTATGGAAATCGGGTTAGAATATGCATTGTCGATCTGCAGAAGGGCTTAGGGCTGCTTGTATGGCCTAGAGGTAGCCCATTCGGCGAAGGTACTATGCCAAAGACCCTAAGTGGTTACTTTACCGAAACCGAGGGTTAAGCAGCTAACATATCACAGGACCCCTTCCCTTGGTCAACTTCCCAAATCAGCCATCACAACGTTGTCTGTTCTGTAAGGAAACACCCACCAGCCAACCGTACCAGTAGAATTTCCATGCAAATGAAGATATACGTGATCGCAACGTCATTGACCCCTCTTCACAATTTTGTTGGATCTGGGAACTGTATTGTGGGAGAAGGGGGAACGGAGGCATGTGTTGGCCACCGCGCTTGACCATAGCTAGTCGTAGGAACACCGACCCAAAAGGAGAGTTATTTAATAAGGGACGGTATTTAAAATAGTTTCGTGAGAACAGAAATTCGCATCTAATCCTCCTTGCTACTTTGCTTTTGCTTCAGTACCGCTTAGATATACTTTTCAAGGCTCTATCCAACTAGTAGAGAGGTGGAGGAGGTATCGCGTGTTCACATTATTTAGACAATCATACATGTACGGGAGATAGGTTTGTAAGGTACTTTTTCTGCTCTGTCACAGCTAGTATATTTGCAGAACATTGGACTGGAGCAGTTGTAGAATGTGGACGTCATTTTTAGGCCCTTTGCTAAGGATCGCCACCAATTTCCCCATTTGTTGCATTTATACTTCTTTCTTCCCACTAGGTTTATCACTTAGCAGTTGGAAAAGGGATGGATGTCCTCTACGATCAGGTTTGCTTTCTACTGCCACCAATGCAACGATGTGAGACTTCTCCGAAGACGATGGAAGGCATAATACTCGGGAAGATTGTATTTATTCGGCATTGGGTAGGGCTTAGGGCTGCTGGCAGGGCTCAGAGGCCATCCCACCAGGCGAAAGTAGAATGGTGGACCATCTTAGTGAGACCCTTGGCAAAACCGAGAGCCAAACAAACAACCAAAGGTTTACGCTACCACCAGACTTGTAGATGTCAATTATTAGTTGGGTGGAACTGGAGTATTTGGCCATTGATAAACACGCGATTGGTTTAATAAAAAGTTTGCGAAAAACATTTCTCATAGATATCTTTGATCTTGACTACGAATGAACCAATCACAGGAACTCACATTAGGGTGTTAGACAATATCAAAGGGGAAAATGCATAGCAGAAGAGGTAAAATCATCAAGATTCAATATGATCACTTTTCTGACATCGGTGAATTTGTTTCACTACTTCCTACACACTGTAGTAGATGCCGTACCATTAAGGGAAAATTTGGCTTCTGGACTGTCTACTTCACTTCTCCCATTTGCCTTATTAATTACTATGATTGAACTCATTTTGTTTTACTATTGTTGAGATGCTAATTATTTTAGCCTCTACTGTACTGCTTTTATAGTGGTTTAACACCTTGTTTAATTGAGGGTTTAGCTTCAGTGACACTTCACACACCTCAGGTTGTGCTTCCGTTCCAGGGCATGGCCTTGGGGCGATGCCAGTGACCACCCAACTCTTCTACACATCAGTAATATATTATAATACTTTTGCTGTTTATTTAACTCTTGTTTTTGGTAAAGGGGCTACTTAGGCACTCCGCCGTTGTATCTTTGCTAGGTGGGCTGGCCTCCGTGCCATGCCAGCACCCCCAAGCCCTACTGTATGTCCACAAACCATATTCTGCCCGTGCTTTATCTTCTTTATCTTCAGCAAAGTCGTGGGAAGCTACAATATATGCTGTCATACTTTTTTGGCTTATGACGACTTCGAGGGTGGACGCGAAGGGCTACGTCTCAACAGCGATTGCCTTCTACAAACTCATCCATTTATAATTTGGCCTTATGCTTCTCAAATAGCTACGATCATCTTACACACACAACATCAATTAACTACGACAGATATTTGAATTATTTAAATTCAACAGGAAAATAACAAAGACTTCTTCAAATTCTGGTCTTAAAAGCAAAAAAAATTTGGTGGTTAAAAAGAAAATAATGACAACAGCCTAGTAACCGTTGCTCAGATTCCCGAGTGCTCATTATCGATTACGTTTGTACCTGTGATACGCAAATCACTTTTGTGCACCCTGCACACCCACCTACCCACAACTGGGACTGAGACCTTGGCTAGGCGAGAGTTGTGCAAAGGCTCGCCTCCCATTGGTTGAAGAGTGGATCGCAGTTTCACGCACACGCACTCACACACCGAACTCGGCTTCCGCGGTCACTTGGCCTCTGCCCTCCGTTCTCGCCTCCTTGCGTTGCCGTTTGTTGCTCCTTTTTGTTCCTTTTTTGGAGTGCAGTTTGTTTAAAAAGTAAGTTACTGAATTTTATTTTGCTTATAAGTTTGTGTCAATGTTGAGATCCAACGACTCGCAATACTGATCCATGCTGGACACTGAGTAGAGTAACTAGTTGTAGCTCGTTATTTTCCAAGTATTAGCACAGAATTTTTGCTGGACTCGAACTCGTTATAATTATTCGGGCAATGGACTGCAAATTAAAGCGGGGAATGAAGTAAGCGTAACCCGCTTTAAAGTGGGGCATGGTCGTGGCGGTATCAAGTGTGTTTGTTGAGCGACTTCAATGTTTAACTTAGTAACGAACAGCTAGTAGGCAACATACTTTTCAGCTTTTTAATGATACAAATCACGCTGGTGTCACAGAAATCAAACACCGCCCGGTTAAAATGTAACACTCAAAGAATTGACTCGAGTTTAATGTATTGTTCTTGGCGTCTGATCCGCCGAACGGAATGCCGTACTTAAGTGGCTCAAACTAAACGCCGCTTTCTTCTCCCACGCTTATGATTGAAAGGTGTTTGTCTTTGCGCTGTTCAACAGTTTGCGTTGTGGAAAGTTCTCAAGTAATTAGACATCCAGAACAGGTGGCGTTAGCGCCTGTGGAACTTTTGAAGATGCAAAATACTGGGAGGCTGTTGGCAAAGCTTTTGAGGGAGGAAGCAAAGTTGCGTATTTCGAATGCCATTCTCACCTCTTTCCATTGCTAAACTCGTCCATTCCTTTTTGCAGCAGTAAGCTAGGAAAGCTCCATAAGATGGAAGTAAAGAGGATGTGTAATGACCTTTTACCACAGTGTGAACTTTTCAAAATCTTCCAGATGAATTGTAATGGCAAAGCAAGATGAAAGCCTTAACAATGTTTCAAAATGCTTCACTACAAAGAAGACTCTGGCGTATTTTATCCTTGTCATGTTTATCCTGCCTAAAGTTGAGCACAAGATGCCATCAATTTCTACGAAATGAAATGTTCTGCCTTTAGTGATGCTTTCCGAGATATCTGCATTGGGTAGATACCATCTGTATCCAAATTGGACTATAAAAGGCGTGTTTTTCTTCGGCCTCGTTCTCCAAGCTGCCACCCTTGCTCTTGCCATTGCGATGCTGAGTCTGGGCGGTTGGGTACAGGTGAAGATTGAAGCGCCACAAGCGGACAACAATCGGTAGGTGCATGTGGGACAGTTGTGTCCGGTCTGGTTAAAGGCACCCCAATAAACCTTTGTAAGACGGAAAGGCAAATTAATTGGAGACATTGATGTAAGATGCACCTCTCTTCGATCCGGACTAGTGTGTCTTGTCAAAAGGCGTGCCATGCGTGGGATTTTATACTATTTGCAGATCACTTTGTGGCAAAGCATAGACTAATCAGTTATTGTGGAAGGCATCTGCGTTACGTTGACTAGAGACAGCGTGTTTAGCATTAAATAAATCTGTGCCCGGTTAGAGCATAATTTATGTAAAAGCAAAATAAATTCATGGTAAAGCAAATTTTGTAGCAAAGTGGATCGGTATTCGGCGAAGACTAGTCTAGTTTGTCAACAGGCGTGGCACCAAATCAAATCAGTAGAGTGTAACATCGGTGTAGAGCCCGGAGAAGTTGTCGGACATTGAAGTGTGGAGCGCCTCGGAGGCTGATGCCACTAGGTGGCGGGAGCAGGGCTCCACGCTACCGCCGGGGATGCCGAAGCATTTTGAAGCCATAAAGTCAAGTTGTTGTTGTTGTTGCTACAACTGTTTAGGGTATAAAATTAGTAAATCCGAACGAAACGCCGTTTTATAATCTACTCCACTGAAGACAACCATTTAGTTTTAATGCCCAAACATTCCATTTTTAGTATTTATTGCCGCTATATGTAGTCATTTAATCTTATATCAAAGCTGAATACTCCCGCTGTATTTATTACTACAAGGAAATCCACCAAAACTAGCAATCTACGGGCTATTTCGGTTTTTGGTAGTTTAATACCGCCGTACTAAGGAATTGATGAAGGTCCTTGCAAAGTTTCTGTAAATCATGCTGGCCAGCTAGATTTAACTCTGGATTGCAAAACAAGTACATCACTCATACGCTAAGATCCCATTTTAAGCGCGGTTACAGCTACCCTTTAACTTTTGTTTCAAAACTTTATCCGAGGTAGGGGTAGGGGCTGCCGATGGGTTGAATCCGCATCGCAGCAAGAAGATTGGCGGCTTCAAAAGGGGTGGTGAGTCTGGTAAATGTTTGCCAGAGGTTATCATGACTTGAGTAGTTCACTTGGAATTTTGATAGTACTTAGACCTCCTTTCACGATTACTCTCACCCTCCTAAAATGCGTTAAGGTGTAGCATTGTGTTTTCTCCGGTCATGCGGCAGAAAGGTTGCAGGCAAGCGCGCGTTACCGAATCTAGTTCGGGCTCCATGGTAACGATTAGTTATTTGGGCTTAAACATGGTTTTGTTTACCGCCTTGCTGTGCGTATTTTACCACTTCAGTACTGCAAAGCAGTTTTTTGGTCTACAAGATTCTATTTATATTACTTAAATCTCCCCTGACTAATGACAGCACATTGACATTGCTAAAAAAGTGTGTCAAAGGATTTGACAATGAGTTGAAGACAAGAGCTATTACAGCTACAAACGATCTAGTGCAATTTGAATTCAAAACAAACACCATAATTTGGATTACATTTATTTTACTTTTCTCGAATTCGTCAAGAAACTTCACCCACTTATTCCCCTTATTCAGATATGGGTTGAGTCGAATTGAAGGCATGCTACAGGACTGTTATGAGGGATTGCAGGCGGGTAAGTCATTTGCCCCCTCTGGACAAAATAAATTAAACCTACGCTTTTTTTATAAAGGTTCAAAACCCTCAGGCGGTGGTCTTTTCGACACCGTCAATCAGTGCTACATGAAGGATTTTGGGCAATACGTAACCTCTGACTATACTGCACATCAAAGAGGTGAGTGCCTCCATCACAAGACCTTAAAAACGGTTAAATTTTGTGCTGTGATATGTCTTATTTAGCGAGTGCCCCTTACTCAATGAAGGAGGCTGCGGGTCACTCCTACACCCCCAAAACAACTTGAGTAGCTATTTTCATTCACCTTCTCATAGGTGACACATAACCTTATTAACTTACTTCAAAGCGCGTAGCCATTTGATTATTCCATAATTAATGCAAATCCCACTTTTAATGTCCCCCTATTTGACAATGTCGGGTTTCCCCAGGTCATGACTGTTCACCTTACCCAGGCGCAAAATGATTGGCTGATTGACTCAATCGTGTACGAGCGACGAATAGGACTTTACTAATCTCCCACCCCCCTCCCCCCAACTTTTTTAGGTATTGCGATGGCCGGAGCCACTCTAGTCGCCTTGGCACTACTTGGCTCGGCTCTTGACCTTGTAACAGGCCTTCATTTGGTCTTCATCTGGTTTCGAGCACCGTATGACTCCTTCTACATTCGAGCGTATCGTCTCCTTGTCGGTTTCATCGCAGCCGTGACCTGTAAGACTTACACCTCCGGTTGCATACTACTCATATCCTGCACAGTAGTATCAATTAATTAAAAAGTGGATAAAAGGTTTCTATCGTGCGTTAACATTAGCCCAAGAAAAAACTATCTTCCGTTAAAGGTGGCAAAATAATGAAGGCAAGACAGAAATTTGAATAATGCACTGTAAGAAACCACCCATCTATCATGTAATGACGTGATAAATTCAAAACCACAAGCGCAAAAGCCGCTGGTTTGGTACTTGCCTCTCAGACGAAACTCAGTGCCCTTTTTGATATTGATGACATCGGTCCCCTTTATGACTATTTTAGCCTGTCTGTTTTTCGCATCAATGATTACGTTTCATGTTGGACTTCGGCTGAGTGTTCAGAGAATTCCATATGTGAGTTAGTTCTTCATTTCCTTTTGGACCAACCTACCACTCCCCCCCTATCGTTAGTTCTTGAATGTGCAGACATTTTGACTAAAACAAGCTAGCAATAATTTGGAGACTGACTTTAAATTCTCAAAAAAATTACTTCAGGTAGTAGGAAAAAGAAGGTTAAACATTGATTTTGGTTTAAACTTGACTATCTATATGGGAGATAGCCTTGGAATTGCTGACCAAAATGTAATCTTTCTCTTTCTTCCCTGCCATTTTAACCTTAAAATTGTCATCAAGCTTGGAAGCTGGTCTCTTAAAGTTCCTCGAAATCGAAGTCCAGGCGCTCTTGTCCTTGCCTTTGTTAATAACCGCGGTTTCAATGAGGTACCATGAGCCTCGTCTATTCTAGATATGACACCTTTTTTAATTGTTAGCCTGTCAAAAATGCTCCATCTCTAAGGTGAGGGTAAAGTGCGTGATGAGTTTGGGTTTATAAATCAGTTCTGTACCTTTATTGTCGCGACCATGTAACCTGAATATTCGAAGCAGCTACCGCTTTATTATTAGTCCTCAAGTTGCCCCAGAAGGTGATACGAGGTGCAGGTATCTCCAAAGAGATTTGAAGTTTTGAAGCACGGGTGGTGGGATCAGGGCCATTTACTACCACCGATGTGACAGGCAAAATATCCACGTAACATTAATGACAATGCGAATCTAGCTATTTACAAAGCCCTAGCCTACCCCATCTGTCAAGTGAATTGATAACACTAAATATATACGCGACAGGAACACCGTCAATTCTAGTGTGAATTCCTCTACATCTAGTAGGAAGCATTTTAAAATAAATATTTAGGGAGCTCCACGCCAATCGCACGTTTTCATAGCATTTTCGCAGAAGGTTCCCTTCCAGATTCCCAGTGGGAAGTCAACCAACATAGCTCCCGATGTCCTGGTGTTTTAAAATGACACTGTTTTTATGCTGTTTTCCTATTCCGATCCATTTCACCCCAAATGTAAGACTTGTGGCGTTGGATAGAAAGATCGGTGTACCACAAATATGCGCACTGGAAACAAAATCCTATTTTGATCACTGTTAAACAGAGGTATGGCAATATTCTTGTAAGTCAAATAGCCGCATTGTTTATATTTCATCCAAACGAGCACTATGCTTTCTAAAAATAGGACAAACTAACGTCAACAACGCTGAACCCTACCAACGGTTACTACGTAGCCTGGGCATGCATTGGCGCTAGTGTTTTGGCTGCTTGGGTCACTCTCTCTTCGACGTGTTTTTGGGCCATGGACTATGTTAATTGTCGATCCCTGGCTGCTGCCTTCCATCCCACCTGCGCTCAGCGTGCCTCGACGCTGTCAATGGCTAATGGAATTCGCAACTCGATCTACAGCCTCAACGACGGTGTGGTGAGTGCTCATCACTTCAAGAACAATTCAGTAATCTAACTTCTGCCCAAAAGAGCAGAACTAAGAGTTATTGTTTGTGAATGAAGTATAGAAGAATGAAGGTCACTAGCTTGCCAAACAACAACTTTCAGCTTAACCATCCATCCATCCATCCATCCATCCATCCATCCATCCATCCATCCATCCATCCA